CCACCTGCAGGTGGATCACAGACTAAGATATCAAAGGCATACGCTGAACATAACATTTAAAAAAATAGGTTGAACTTACTGTATGTAAAAGACTTACAATTCTGAGTTATAGATGAATAGTTATTGAACTGATATCATGAGCTGTGTCCCACATCCAGCTATGAAGAACATTTTGCAGATTAGAATTCAAATATGTAAATTGTAAATGCTCCAGGAGAAACTAACTCCATCAGCATTTAGCCATACAAATTACCATCCCAGTTTCTGTTGAAAGGCGGGTTTTCTATGAGAAGTGGTGCCCATAGCTCTTAATGGAGCTACACTGCTTAAATAAAGGCTTAAAAAGTGGTTAAGTTAGTTAATCCTTCTACCATGTCATCAAATGTACATTACTTTTTCAGTTTTAGGAAATGCATGTTGAGCCCATGTTGAGCCCATGTTGAGCCCTGCTGGCATTAACAGGCACTTTGAAGAGACAGGGAGAGCTTTAAAGACAAACAAATCTACAAAAGGCTGCAAAGACTTTATTGAATGGTAGCAAATCACATGCATTATCGGGCTATATGAATCTGTCCTGACGTCCTACAAACCAAGACAACAGACACCCTCTATAGGGATGAGAAAGATTAGATCATTTAGGGTCACGTATTAACATAAGAAGGTATAGCAAATCTTGTGTAAAGTGCTGGCATAGTTCTGTCACACAGACATAGTGCAATATAACCAACAATCGGCTTTTCCCATGGCTACTACTCAAAGGCAAGATAGTGAAAACATTTAAATTCCATTTTCTCATATACATTTCTCATATCATATAGAATAATATAAATCTATTGTGCATATTTGCATAATATACTTTATCTTACCAGTATATGGGTGTATTTTCAGCACAAATCCATGCAAAGCTGTTTTTTTTTTTTTCTCCACAGAGACCAACCACAATGACAGAACTTCACTGTGTTAAGTAAGGTGTTATTTCATTAAGGCTTCTTCATAATGTAGTGTAATACAGGAAGAGTTAATGGTTTTCAAGACAGTAAATCTTTTTCAATTGCAGCGTCCACATAATACCGCTGTGACACTCTACAAGAGGTCAGCCTTGTTTGGTCAGGTGTTGATGTGACGCAGGACACGACGCAGCGACTGTCCATCTCGTGCGGTACACATGGCAGGAAGGGGTACAGGCTCTGTCTTGTGCTCCACCAAGTTGAAGTGGCACTTCTTCAGATGGTCCGACATGCTGGGGAGGTCAGTGAAACCCCAGGACAACACAGGACTGAAGGCAGTGCTGAATCTCCACACCTGCAACAGTAAAGATAAAAAAGCAAGTTGGAATGAAGAGCAGATTGCATGTCAAAAATACTTTTAAATGCAATTTCCATAAAATCCTCATGTAAAGCTATACTCCCTGGTTTTGTTACAGCACAATCCCTCTAGCTCACAGTTAACACTTAACACACATGGGAAATGCACTTATTTGCCTCCTTTAATTTCTGGCTGTTTCTCGTGGCATTATGTGCTGGAGTATTTATTGGCCAGGACCAGTTGCCAGACAACGACTCCAGGAAGTTACTGCTCCCAGCCAAGAAATAGTCAAATTGTGTTAGTTTTTTGTATGGATTATACAACCGAAATAGAAACTGTTAATTAGTGACTTTAAAGGTTGGAAAGAATCAGACTAGCTGTGTCTCCCCTCCAGTCTTTGTTAAATGGCTAAGCTAACTAGTTGCTGGCTCCAGCTACAGATTTACTGACACTAGAGTGGTATTAATCTTCTCATCTTAACTCTTGGCAAGAAATCAAATAATGGCGTTTCCAAAGTGTCAAACTATTCCTATAAAACTTTCAATCTATATTGAAAAAATACATTTCAATATTTGGGGCCACTACTCCGCAGAATCAATCTTTATTAAAACAGCTTTGTTATCTTTATTCCATGTTAGTCATGTGTATTTCATGTATTCCATTTAATGTAGAGCTGCAGTGGCACATCAGCTATTTGGAATGGTGCCTCTTACAAAAACCACATGTAGCTTTGTTAGCATTTCCATCAAAAACACTGACATACAGTAAGTTTACAATACAGATTTTCTACTCACTCTATTTTTGATCTGCCATGACACAGTGCCAGGAGCACCAGGGAAAGGTCTTCGCTCCCACTGCAGGTCTACAATGCCCCTGGTCTGGAGGAGACTGGCACACACCTCTCTCATAGTCCGTGACACCAACGACAGCTGGCAAAGGCTGAAACTGTCCAGGAACCCAGCTATGTGCCACAGTATCTCAATGGGAAGACCACTAAACTGGTCAGACTGAGAGTCACTTGGAATTTTTCCCCTTGGGCAAGGCTGAACCCCGAAGGACCTGAGGTGCCTGTCATGAACCACCTTGGCCCCTTGGGTGGATGGGTAAAACCTCCTCTGGGAAAACGTGCAGCCGTAATATGCCAGGGGGCAGCGATGCTCCATCCAACCATTTAGACCAGCATGGATGTCACCATGGACATTCGTGAAATGGGAAGAAAACTGGTCCCGGCGGAATGACTGACCGCAGACAAAGGGGAACATGTGCTGGTAGCGTGGGTTGGCAGGGAGGTAGCGGTTATGTGGGACTGCCTCAACCTCCAGAGCTTCCAGGACAAGGCCAAGGCGGAGAGTGCGGAAAGGGCTGGGGTAGGAGAGCTGGGGGGCAGCATGGTCACAGGCAGATGCGGAGGCCATGTCGCCCACTCTTGTGTTGGTTACTAAGATTGCTGCAGGGAAAGTGAAAGTCTGTGTGCCGAAGTCGACATGGTAGCCGTCAACATAGACTGTATCAGAGATCCTTCTACACTCTCTGGACTCCTCTAAACAGAAAAGCAGGGCTGCTGTGATCAGATCAATCTCTCCCAAACCCATGGGGTCCTCATCCTGCTCCAGGTCCGACGTATCCACTGCCTTGTCCTCCATTTTGGGTCGCACTCTGTACAGTGACCTGTCTGGGATGAAACCTATCCGTCCGTTAGGTAATGAACATTGGCCCTGGCTCCTAAAAAACTGGTAGTTGTGGAATTTGCGCTCAGTCCCATGGTTTTCTAAGAGAACTAGCCCCCTGTCTTCCAAGACCACATGACCAGCCCTTTGTGTCACACCCTGGCTGACGTGCACTGGAGATGCCATTGGAGGGGTGACAGGCTCCTGAGAAACCCCAGCTTTCATGTCACCTTGCTCCACGACAGAGCGGGTCTCCAGATTGGCCTCCATTGCTCCACACAGTGGCCCATTTGTAGTGTTTAAAATCTTTTTGTCTGTTCCTTTCAGAGCCCCGTTTCCTCTCAAGCAGCTAGAACAAACACTTTGCTCCTCCGTCTCGCTTTTATTCAAACTCTCAGCAGCTACAGGCGTTTTGTCTTCCAGTCCATTCTGAAGGTCTCCATTGCGGCTCACACGCTCTGTGCTGCTGTCAACGGAACTGCCACTGCTAGCAAATTCTAAAGCGGCGACTAAGCTTCTCGCAGTCTCAACTGTGGCCTCGTACAGTTTACTGAAGTGCTCCTCGTTCAAGCCATTAATCCCACTGATGATTTTCTCTTTTGCCGAGCCTGGTGGGGGAGGTTGTGGCTGACGTGAGGGCGATGACTGTGAAGGTGGCTCAATAATGGTGGAAGCCTCAGTGGCAGATGTAAGCAAACCTGAGTCTGTTGCCCTGTTGTCCTTACTAACAGGGACAAGTGGCTCTCCCTCTGTGGTAGGTGCCATGGCGATCACCTTGAGGGACTCCAGTAGTGTACGCTGGTCCTGAAGGGCAAGTGCCATGTCCAGCTGCTCCACCTCCTCCACACCACGGCTCAGGCTCTCATAGGAAGTATAGTCCAGGCAGCTAATAGGCCATCTGTTCCACTCCATAGTGCAACACACCACTCCAGCTGGACACACTTCGAGGTGTGCATACATTTGGTTGCGCACCAGAGTGGCAGGGCAGCCATAGCCACTGTTTAGGCAGGGAACCCTCACCAGTGGGCACATGAGGTGGTGCTCATCAAATTTGCAGGAGTGAAATACAGCCCCACACACGAGAGGACAGGTGATAAGGTCACAAGAAATGCCTAGTTGAGGTCTGACCATGCATCGCTGGTTAACGCAGGACATACAGTGAACATGGTCCCCCTCCATCTTCAGGGCTGAAGGGGTGGAAAGCTTCTGAGGGTGACTGTGTGAGAAAATCCACTGTGTCCTGCCAAACAAGAGGAAAGAGCAAATAACGTGTCAGAGTTTGTGTCACATGACGAATGAGAAAAGAGGAGAATAATGGAAAAAATTCACTAGAAAGACACGATCATAACTACAAAACATGTCTACCTAGAGTAATAACATTAAGTAACAGTATCGTTGTCTAGTCACACCACTTACATAGCCAGCCCGATGAATAAATGTTACTTCTTTCTGAACGAGAGTATTATACATAAAAAAAGAAAAATAAGTAGCATTCTTAAACATTTAAGATTGAAGCTATGAAATCAGCATGGTGTCCCAGAGCTTTGGCTCAGTCTTGAATGGCTGCTATAATTAGTGACAACCACCAGATGTCACTGTGTTTGCTGAGATCCAAAGCTTCAACTCTTTTAAGATACAGACAGGAAGATGCTCCCAAACATTAAAAGGCTTCATCTAACAAATAAACCCCAAAAGAGACCAGATAAAAATGCATAATGGTCAGTGACAAAGGCAGTAAAGGGAAAACAATTAGGTAAAACTACAAATAAATCAAACTTGAAAGCTACGTAGAAAAATAAGCTATAAGATAAATGAATATTTGAAAGCTATATACTCCCATAACACCCAATACCACTGTGCATGAAGGTGTTTTTAAGTGTATTCACGTAGTAAATTGGCAGATTTTAATGAACCTTCCTCATAGATAGCAGAAATTTCTAGGTTCCAGAAAATCAACGTCATTTATAAAAAGAAAAAAAAGAGCACAGATTAAATCTAATGGATAGGAAAAACAGATTAACTAACTAATCTAATCTAACGAGATTAAATAATTATAATCTTTTGTCAATCCAATTCTTATAGAAATACCTTAACAAAGTCAATGAAACAGGACTCCCAGACAAACTGAATGACTAAGCAAACCTGTCTGAGGTGCTGCTATTTTGGCTCTTTCCATGTCTACAGCCTGCAGAGAGACTGTGAAACAGTGCCCCCACTCCACCGCATGTGGAAGTCCACTGGAGTCACGTAATGCAAGTAAAAAGCTGTCTCATACAAATACCTTATTAGGAAGATTCCCAGCTCAAGAACAAGAAGGTCAAAACCTTTCCTTCCTTAAATATGGAACATATCCGAGACAGCTCCAGAAAGACCCTGTTAAATAAAACAATCAAGAATTAAACCTTTGAAAAGTACATTTTGCTTTATCTTAGTGAAGTTACACTGGCAGCGTGATAAGTTAAAGTTTGATTAATGTCTGTATAATTGCCTGTTTGTACAAAAGTATGATGATTTATTGGTTTAATATACAAGTATACCAGCTTCAAAAACAATATACATCTATAAATAAATAAGAGATTAGTGTATATAGTGGATGCATACTATATGCTATTAATATGCAGTATAAAATGCGGACACAGACGGTGATAGAGAGGTGTATTTCCTTGAATACATCCAACATGGTTGCCATACAATTACATATAATTTAATGTGTAGACTGAGCACTGAGAAAGCAACTATGCCCTGCAGCTGAGATTCACACACACCACCAGTGTTTAAACAATGTATGAATACACGTGAATGTTAACTCAGAAACAGGATTAATGTCCCCTATAAGTCTTTAGCTTGGATTATAAAAGCAGCTTGCATTGACATCAGTAGCTTCACCGTGTGTCACATAACAACACTGAGCCACACAACCACATAGTTCATCAGATCTACAACTTGGGGGTGAATATCTACCACAGCAGCCTTGCTTGCATTTGTTTTTAGCCGGCAGTCAATCAGGTTGGCTCACTTCACTTCCAACAATCGCCCCAAATAAGACTCAAACGCTGATAACAACTAAAGCTATAACTAAAGCTAACCCAGTACAGTGGCTAGTCGACGATGCTGAACACTTTTAAGTTCACTCACAACCAACTGCAGCTAAGATAGAGAACACCGAAAGCTTGTGCTACAGCGTGCAACAGTTCGTGTTCAGCCCCCTACTGCAAACCACACTGCTGTCAGCTCATCTTTGGTTATTAACTCAACTTGTTTTTGCAACAATGGCCAAGCTTTAGCTCACACTGCCGGCTAACAACAGCAAAGACAAGCTCGGAAGTTCACATCAAGAAAACTTAAGCAGCATAACGTCGAGTAGCTCCTCACCTTGTCGTCGTGTTGGCAGAACAACGTGCGGTAAGGTGTGTTTTGGGTGTTGTGTGTATAACGTTGTATATGAATACAACTGGCTGTTACTTTAGTTGCCTCTGTGGAGAAAGTGCTAATGATAGCTAGCTTCAGTTCTTCTCACTCAACCTCCCTGTATTTTTTTTTTTTTTTTCTTCTGTTCAAAACTTTATTGACCCAATTGTAACTCACTTTTACATTAGTCATTAGTCAAGTGTTTATATATATCAAAAACAACAACAACAAAACGACCAGGACAATAAAGTAAAAATAGAAGGAAAAATAATAATATAGATGCTCATTTGTAAATTTAGCAAAAATGTTTAAGTATGGAAGGAAAGTTATAAATAAATAAATAAAAGGAACTCATTTTGCACATTTGTAAACAGAGAATCTACCCTTCAAATTAAATAATTTACTCTATAATCAATCTTTGGTTCCTTAAAATTAAAACATTTTAAATTGTACTTTTATATTGTGAAAATGAGAAACAAATCGGACCAGTCAAATTGGGCTTTGGCAAATAAATTCGTGCGTTTTCTACAATTAATTTCCAATATGCTTTTTTATTATCTGTGATATCTATAACCCCTATTAATTATAATTAAACCACCAGAAATAACTTTGCAAACAGGGTCTCTTCAATTTATATAGGTGACAGGGAAGTTATAATACATTCATGGCATTATAGTTTTAAGAGAATATAATATATAACATCATATATTATCAATAAATAAATCAAACATAAAACTCCCAATTGTCTGACAAATCTCTTTATTTTAGTAACATGCAGTAACCAGTAACAAACAGGAGAGGTCGCTGTTGCACCATTTTTGCGGCCTCCTTGCTGGTAGTGGTCAGACCAAGCCTCATGGTTCATGGTTTAACTGAAGGAGAAGCCACGTTTCGAGGTCGGGGTCTCCTACACAACAGCACCCCTGCAGCTGGAGGAGCTGACTCATGCATACAACAGCAGGACAGTGCTTAGTGGTACTCAATACACTTTTCATGAGGTGCTGAAACACACTAATTCAGTCGGTCACCGTCATTACATCATATAGATAGATAGATAGATAGATAGATAGATAGATACTTTATTTATCCCGAGGGAAATTCAAGCATCCAGTAGCAGCATACAAACATACAT